ATAGAGTGCACTGCCACTTCCTCAAAATGTTGTATCAGCTGCTTTGTTAAAGTGAGTGAGGCGAGGTGAAATGAGCTTTAGAGTGATGTGTAAGATTATTGTGCATGTTCTGGTCTGTGGGGGGCGGTCGGGTAGCCTAGTGGTTAAAGCGTTCGCTCGTCACGCAGAAGACCCGGGTTCGATTCCCGACATGGGTACAAGGTGTGAAGCCCATTTCTGGTGTCCTCCGCTGTAATATTGCTGGAATATTGCTAAAAGCGGCGTAAAACCATACTCACTCACTCACTCACTCTGGTCTGTGGCTGCTTGTACTAGTCCTGAGTAATGCAAGTGTAATAGTGACAACCCACTGAGATACCATGTCTCAGTTCAACATGGATACCCCCCTCGGCCACAGACCGGGTAACAAGTACCATCTACTAACATCCTGTGGTTTGAGGGGCGGTGGGTTAGCCTAGTGGTTAAGGCATTCGCTTCTCACGCTGAAGGTCTCTGTCCACCATGGAAGCGGTCTTGTTATGTCAGTGGGTCTGCAAGATAGCACAGTAGTCAATGGTAGTGATGATTAACATTGACTGACAAGGGTGTGCGGTGATATACAGCGAGATCGGTATAAAAGAGATCGGGCATGGAGAAGTGGAAGAAGAGGAGTAAAATGTCCAGATATTTCTGGCTGTGTCCTTGGGTATATACAGTTATGTTACCCGCAACCAACTTGCCAGTAATTCCATCCTCACCTTGCTGTGTACTGCATTTATATAATGAGAATAAAATCCATTTTTACATGACCATACACATTTGACTTTGGGGGGCAGTCGGGTAGCCTAGTGGTTAAAGCGTTCCCACGTCACGCTGAAGTCCTGGGTTCGATTCCTGACATGGGTACAATGTGTGAAGCCCATTTCTGGTGTCCCCCGCCGTGATTTTGCTGGAATATTGCTAAAAGCGGAGTAAAACAATACTCACTCACTCACTCACTCCTTATTTGACTATTGAAAATGATCAGCATTAATTTTTATTACCAAAGGTTAGAGTGGTCGAAAACAACATTCTACCCGCCCTCACGATCATAAAATCTGATGCATGTTTCGTTTTTATTTCCATTTAAAAAAAAAAAAATCCTAATACTTACAAAAATTGCGATCCAATATAGCACGCAGTTACTTCCCTTTTCATGAGCATTGCTTTAATGCGCACCTCGTGTTTTGGTCATGGTGGCAACAGGAGTTTGTATTGTATGTTTATTTATGTAGGGAGGCCTTTTCCCAGGTTGAATACACAACTGTTTATTTGGTTACATACCAGTTTGAACAAGCAAAAACAAACAAAACCACCACCCGTCTACACTATATTTTCAACAGTCATTGCTCTTTAATGTTTTAAGCCTAACTACTTAGTAAACTCAACCGTTGCCACATCATTCATCACTTCCACTGTGATTAAAGGTTTAGTGCTAATATACTGACCGAAAAAGGTCAGGGATCATGAATATTTTTTGGGATACTGTCTGCTCAGTCTTCACGACAAAAACATATTCCCCAAAATATTCATGATTTCACGTGTTTGCCGTGTGCAGCGGCCAGAAACTTCCAGCTACTGGTCAAGGCCGTAGTTAACTTTTTTTTGCATGGGGGGGCGCAAATTATGAATATTTATTTCTTATTCAAGTTAACTTTCACTAGGAAAAATGTTTTCTGTAAAAAATATCCGGGGGGGCAACTACGGCATTACTGGTACTTCCATTTTCTGGCCACTGCACATGGCAAACGGCAAACAAACACGTGCGCCAGTTGAGATTCTCACAATCTTACCAAACTGAGAAATACATGTTTGTTGACTGCACTATTTTTAAACTATGATTGTTACAGAGACACGTGACATCGAATAAGTTTCTTTGTACAGCTGCAGACGTGTGGGTTATTGCTCCTTTGTGTGGATATTCACGGATACATTCCTCGAACAAGGAAGCTGCCTAAAATTATACACATAAATTTGGTAGATTGTAATTATGATATTTGCATTTTGTTTTCCTTCATTTGCTGTAGCATTGGACAGATTCATTCCTATTCTTCGATGCGCGATAGACGTTGTTTTCACAAGTCTTTTCCTTTGTAAGCGTGTATATATTACAGTCAATTTGTAAAATGTGATTCTCTCGGGCAATTTATTTAAATGTGTAAATATTTCAGTCATTTTGACAGAAAAATCTGTCCATTTCTTTTACAGATTGCAAATCTTTGAAACAAATGTTTCCTTAGCAAGAGCATGACTCGAAAACTGTTTACATATTCAACAAAAACATCTACGTAGGGTTGTCTGCAATTGCAATTGCGCATGTAAAGGGAAGTAACTGTGCTATATTGGATGGCATTGTTTCTAAGGCTAAAAAACATAATAATCTCGGTTCACAGGCACGGCCTGCATCATCTCAAAGTCCGCTGCTAGTTTCGTTTTTATTCCAAGTCCAATAGTAGTCAAATCCTGTATTCCAGTATTTTACTCATCCAGGAATACATTTATGTTGGGAGGCCCTTTCCCAGGTTGATTGTACACAACTTTGTTTTAGGTTACATACTAGTTTGAACAACCCCCCCAAAAAGAAAGACACCACCCATACTATATTTTCAAGAACCATTGCCTGAGAACCAATTCTTTTCTTTTATTAAGCCTAAGTATTAGGATTTTTTAATTTTTTTGAAAATGGAACTAAAAATGAAACGTACAGCAGACTTTATGATGATGCGGGCGGTGCCTGAGAACCAAGACTATTATAGTTCTTTTAGTCTGTGGTGACCATGGAACATGGTGGAGTTGAGACCTGAGTGTGCTTTCAAACTTCAAATTTTATTCCATTTCGGGACCTTTTCAAACCTGAACAAACATTGGCAGACATGTTTGCATCCCTGGAATGAAACAAAGACATCGAAGCATGTTTGCAAATAAATTATGACTTTATTTGGGTACATAGATTCACAAACTATATTTCTGAACCTATATATACATCAAGCATATTGATAATTTACAGTAGAATGGACAAACTGTACAATTACTTGAAAGAGTTGCTTCTGGTCTCGAGCACACAGTAACTGGTGCTCTGCTATAATCAATCTCAAAACTAGGGATTTATTGGCTCCTGAAGAAATAGCTTATGAATTTTGTGATCATACGTGGACAAAAAAAATCATCCTGAAACAGGATAACAATGTATCACAACAAAACATACCATATTCGACGTAATAAGCGCACAGGGCGCTCTCAAAATTAGAAATAGGGGGCTCTTATTAGAATATTATTTTGGAGAAAAAAACAGAGTTGAAAGATAAATTTCGTGGTTCATGCGGACAGCCTGAAATGTTCATATATGACAGATATATTTTTCCAGAATTTAATTGCTCATAATTAAGGGTGCATATAACACGAGTGCGTATTATCCGCAAATAAATAAGTCTTTTGTACATTGACCAATCGGAAGGGGTGCTACTTGGGATTGTTCACTGGCCAACATATTAGCAAATATCGCCGTGGGGGCTTATTAGAGCGGGGCACTTATTACGTCGAATATGGCAATATAACTTTACCAGTATATGAACATCTTACATAGTTAAAGTTAAGAATCATTGGAATGGCACCCAGTTTAAGTGATACCTACAGGCAAATGTCATATCAAATGACTTTCAACAAGGCTCACTGTATTATATATTCTTTGGGGATCCTAAATGGGAAAAGAGAAAAATTAAAGATATGTTATGGACGGTACATAATTTACTTGACTTCAAAAATAAAGAGTTTGTGAAGGAACTTAACTGTTTCATCATGGTGGTATGCCACACTCAGCACATGCTCAGTTGACAACAAGGAAGAGTAACTACTGGACGGTTTTTACACAGAGGTGGAAATAGAAAATCATAAATCTGCTCAAAGCATGTTAATAAGACATGGCTTGTATCATCCAAGCGCTTCTGATAAGCCAAATTAAGTATTATTTGCCCTTTTCAAAAATGCATTGACACAGCGGTGGGTTGTTTAAAAAGAAATATCCTTGATTAGGAATACCAACAAAAACACTATCAGCAAGAATGCTAGGACCCTAAAACGCTACAACAAAAGGCAAAAATATACATCAAGTCTTGGCAACAAATGTGGAGACATTAATTACATATTTACAGTTGATGCATGTTAATTGTAAGACTTGGATGAAAAGTGATATGATGACTGATAAACGATATATTTCAAACAAAATTAAATTAACATGAATCATTATAAACACAATCACCTCCTGATGAATGACTTTGGTTTTGTGAATAAAGCATGTAGACTCTAGTTGTCAGAAATATCTAACCTGAGGTACTGGAGCTCACCTTTAAAATGCTTAATTTCTACCTATACTTAAGATATGTGTCAACAATTATACAATTTATTCGAAAGTGGAATATGTGCACAAGGTACAAAGATAGACAAAAATTCTATGGCCAACGCTTGCATTCATCTGTTTTGACTATGTTAAAGGGAAGTCTTTTGGCAATTTTTTACAAAATAAATCTTGAATATATTACAAAAAAACACAATTATCTACATTAGCTGTGATTGACTAGTTCTACAATGGTCAAAAAAGGTATAAATTATAAAAAGAACACAAATGAAAATCTATTCAGATAGAATAGATTTAATAGTTTTTATGCTGAAGTCAGCAATATTCCAGCTATGTCACAGCAACCTGTAAACATGGTAAACAATTGAAGATGGGTCAGGTTGACCAGTGACTGAAACAGTATGGACACAATGACCAACAGGTTAACCATCCAATCCGCTGTCTGAACTTAGACCTGGGATTCCCCCACCAAATACGCCGTGTAAGGAGAGTCTTACGCTGCTCTTAGCACTATTCCAGCAATATTACCGCGGGGAACACGAGAAATGGGCTTAACAAATTGTATGGAGAAATCGAACCAGGCAAAACAACAGGCTCCCCAACCCTACCTAATTCAATGAAATACCACACATTGTTGACAGTGTTCTTAAGTTGTACCTTTATTTTGACATGAAATTATCAACCTTTCTTTGGTTTAGCCTGCCTTGGCCCTCTCCGCTGAACATTCCTCTGTCCATGGTGATGGAATGTTTTATTACTAAGCGACTGTTAACAAACACTTCTGCTACTTTCTCATCAGATGATCAGTATCTAGAGTCTTTGATAAAAAGAAGAGAAAATATAAAATAACACGACTGGCTGTGACTCCACTCATGGCAGTTTGCGAATCCCAGGTAAATATTTGTCATCTCGTTTCTGTTCCATAGAATTACCCACACCAACAGTTTATAACAAAACTTAATGATTTCCATGAATAAAGTAGCTGTATAATTACTTGCTGGGAGTTTGGCACAAATCTGTTGAGGTGTGATACACACTCTGATAGTGTATACAAGTAAATACCACTGAACTTTTGACATCATCTGGACACCAAGAAATCTGACACTGTTACAAACCTCAGAAGTATATTTACCTGATGGAAATATTTCATGTCAATACCAACTCAAATGCAGCTGAAAAAACATCAGCTTGACTGCAATACTGAATACTATTTGTATGACAACTCAGTCATATTTAGTCCTCATTTGGAATAAAATATTGATTCCTATCAAAAGCCCAGTAGTATATGTTTATTGGTTTTATTTTCCAAAACGGTTGTTGGTCAAAGAAACAATATATTTCTAATGTTCTTAGGGTCAGGGAAGTAACACCTTTCTTGGCACTTCGCTTACTTCTTAGTTATTCCATAACTGATTCTGTGGGCAGAAATAGAGACAGTTGTCAAAACTTTAAACTTATTCCACATATTTGTAATTTTGGGCTGTTGGATAAAAAATACTGTGCCTAGTCATCAGAGGGCTGCCTATGGAATGGAGGACAAGAACTGCCAACTGAACTGGCCTTCTGCTGCTCTGAGCAAAATCACTCTAAATCCTGTGCTGGAAGCAACGTATACAATGAAGGCTTCAGTCAATGTCCTAAAGCAACAAACACAATCCTTTAAAGCTCAAATCCTCACGAAGAAAACATCACATGGTCATCCTCATTATCAATATATACATCAGGTTTGTCACCCTCGAGTAAAAGATGACCTCTTCCATTCTTCAACAGTCATTATAAATCTGGACTGATTCCATATCATCTGGGGATGAAAGGCTAGAGTCTGATATTGTCACACTAAGGCTTAAACACATTCCTACATACACAAACATTCGTATAATTGGTGTCGTCTTTCTCGTTCTTGAATCATAGATAAATTCCCCATCTGCTCTCAAGGTTGTCTCTTCTGTTCATGAGGCTCTTCCTCAGCACTGAGTACAAATGGACTTGTTCTCGGAAAATTCCCATAGATTATGCCGTCTTGAATTGAACCGGTCACATGACACATAACACCAATCAGAATCTTCCTCCATCAGACATTCACACATTCCTAGTCGCAGAAGTGCCGACACACTTGTTGCAACGATTAGAAAATGAAAGCCCTAAGACAAGTTGTCACATAAGTAGTACCTCCACTACAAGTAGCTATGTAACTTTTATCAACACTGATTCTGTTTTGTGTTTTCGATATGTTTGCTGTCCTCAATCTTAAGGCATTTTTCTTCTATCTCTTGTGACCGTACCATCGTATACAGGGTTTTCTTCACTCGCAACATCGGCAGCCGAGCCTTGGGGTTCTGTGCCCAACACTCCTTCATCAGCTTTGACATCTGCACCATGATCTGAAAGTTCACAAAGGATATTCAATGGACTTCAAGGTCATGTTCTACAAACGTCAGGTGTCTCTCTCTCAAGTATGTTGTTATCATGTCTTGCGCTCGGCATTATGGGGCTAAAACAAGGACTGGTCGGCTCGGAGTCAGTATACTGTGTCTGAGTGGAGTATTCATGTTAAACTGTGGCATGGTATCTCAGTTGGCTAGCACTATGAAACGGCATCAGTCCGGACTAGTACAAGCAGCCACCCACACCCACACACACACATGTGCATGCATATCGCTATATAAGTACAATATTCTTGGACGCGACGTTGAACCCCATTTCACCTCTCTCAAGTAGCTGAGAGACGAAATGGGGCTTAATGTGGCATTCAAGATTATTGCACTTACATGGTGCCGTGCATGAGTGTGTGGCTGCTTGTACTAGTGTGGACTAATACCGGTTTTATAGTGCCAGTCCACTGAGATACCATGCCGCAGTTTGATAAGTATACCCAACTCAGAGTACACTGACTTCGAGCCTACCAGTCCTGTTTTAGCCCCTTAATGCCGAGCACCAGGCAGGGTAACAACAAGTACCTTTTAACATATTTTGGTATTATGCAGCCAGGGATCGAACCACTGACATTCCACTCTCCTTGCAGACGCTCTATCCACTAGACCACAGAGTGGTTATCTATCAAGAAAGCAACATTCTTAAGGAGCCAAAACACCATTGTTAATGGAATAATAAAGATTTGTTTGTTTGTGTGTTGTTTAATGCAGCACTCAGCAATATTACAGCTATAAATAATCAAGTCTGGACCAGACAATCCTGTGATTGACATCATGCGCATCAATCTTCACAATTGGGACATGATGACATGCATCAACCAAGTCACTGAGCCTGACCACCCGATCCCTTTAGTCACCTCTTACGACAAGCATGGGGTGCTGAAGACCAATTCTAACACGGATGTTCATGGGACAGAAGTATTATAAAGAATGAAGAATTAAGTGTCATTGGTACATTTAGCATGTTTAAAGGCACTGATATCTAGTAACCACATGTGAGACGAGAAGAATAAGGATGTAAAATGTTTGAATTCACTGAAGTTACAGATAACCAACATGATCAATAAAAGTATTTCATATCCCCGTATGGCAGCTTAATGTTGGAGGTGGAGCCCATTTACCACTAAGAAATCAGGGAGCATAATAGGGTGAGTGAGTGAGTTTGGTTTAACGTCGCTTTTAACAGTATTCCAGTAATATCACGGCATGTCAGCTTCATGTGGGAGGAATGCCCGAAGTGATGCAGGTCTCAGACGTTTACCACTTCGGTGAAACCCACGAGCACAGGTATGGTGCTGACAAACCTAGAAACATAATCGGGGCAAACCAGGATTCGAAACCACAATCATAGGTTTATGGGGTGCCGATGGGACGCAACGCTGCACAGCAAATCACGTCGCCTTAGACCCCTAGGCCACCCCTGCCCCCTAATAATAGGGTTAACTCTGGGATTCAAACTCCTAACAGCAGATTCCTGCATGGTAAGGTAGGCAACTCTAATAATGATCCCTCCGAAAGAAGCTAAGTATGGGTGGTACAAACCGGGTCGGAGGCCCATCTGTTTGGGATGACTGGTCGCTGCCCATCTGTCACCACCACTTTCTTCATGTCCTCGTAGCTCGGATCACTCGGCACCGACTCCCCGAACGGAAGCTTGTAATCTTCAGGAAAGCCTGAAAATGCATCCAGTTTACAATGATTTGTTTTGTTTTGTTTGTTGTTTAACGCCGCACTCAGCAATATTCCAGCTATATGACGGCGGTCTGTAAATAATCAAGTCTGGACCAGACAATCCAGTGATTGACATTATGAGCATCGATCCACGCAATTGGGATCCAGACATGTATCAACAAGCAGTTTATAATGACTGATAATACTAGGGCATAGTTCTAGTTCAATACATTTCACCACATTCCGTTTAAACATATTCATGATAATATATAGACGGCGGAATAGACTAGTGATTAAGGCTTATTTCGATTCCCTACATGGGTATAATGTGTGAAGCATGTTTCTGGTGTCCCCCTACTTCATAAACGTCATAAACCGCCGGAAACCCATACTAACTCTCATATGGCAAACACACAAATTCAGCCATTAGCAAAGAGAAACAGAGTTATGCCCCTTTAACTAAAGCCTCTTCTTGTTAGTCAACCTGGTGTTAAAACAACACTTGGACTTTCTGACTGGTATGAGGTAAACAGCTACATACGTCTTCACTGGCAGGCCCAGCAACACAAGCCAACACATACAGCTAGCAAGGAAATGCTGTTCAAACCCACAGTATGTGTATTCCGGCTATATTACGACAGACTACATAATAAAAAAAACCTCACAGCTTGATAATAAAAGGTTTTGATTACTGTAAATCGTGAAATTAATGCGTCTCCAAAAGAATGCGACCACTGACCCCTAGCCAAAAATGCGACTAAATACGAATGGGACACCCCACCCAAGCACTGACAATTCACAGGATGTAATGAGTGCTTGAATGACATTGTTTATATACTTCTTACAAGTGGAATACATTGTTGTTTGTTTTTAGTGTATGTCTAAGTTGGTATTTCTGCTAACCAAAATGTCTTATTGTTGATATAAATGCGATGTTTATTAATGCGAGCAAAGACCACTCGCATTTTTTGCGTTTAATTCACGCTCGCGTTAATTTCAAAATTTACAGTATCCACCAAAACAAGATTCCATTGGGCATAGGAAGCAAAATAGCAGTGAAAATTATGTGAATGGACACCTGTGAATGATAGCTAAAGCAAACTACGATCCAATATAGCATGCAGTTACTTCCCTTTACATGCACACTGCTTTACTGTGCATTTCGTGTTATGGTCATGGCAGCAATAGGAGTTTGTATGTTTGTTTATGTAGGGAGGCCCTTTCCCGGGTTGATGGTACGCGACTGTTTATTTGCTTACTTACATACCAGTTTGAACATGCAACAACAACAAAAACTACCGCTCGCCTGCCCACACTATATTTTCAGAAGTCATTGTCTGAGAACCAATTCTTAAATTTTTTAAGCCTAAGAATACTAATTTATTTCTGCTACATCCAAAACTTTAATTTTATAAGAACATAAAATTGTTTTGCAAGAAGAATTTAATTTTAGATTAAGAAGAGGTCTATCTTAAGCTCAACATAACAAGACACCAGTGTCCTCTGTTACTATCATCAGCTAGAACCACACAAAGGTCAATCAGTTGTGCCAGTAACATGAAGTCTAGGGCATTACAGGTTCTACTACACCAAATCAGAATCATTCGTCCAACAAGCAGTTCTCGTAGCCTTCAGTGCAGACTGAATCATCTGGCAGCTGTGACTGGATGATTGTTTTTGTTTTGAAATGTACATCAATCTAGTAATTAAAACTGACTATGTTTTTCTATATTTAGGGCTGTCTTTTTCAACATGATGACTTATGCTGAATGTGACCACACATCTTTTCAAGCAAGTGACATTTGGTGCGGAACAGGGGGTGGTGTGTTTAGCTTCCTGTACTCGGAAAAGGAGCTGGCTAAGCTAGTCACTTTGTTTGTTTTTATTGCCGCTCTAAGACCAAACTGTGCACACACGTACAGGTAATAACTGTTGATGCCTAATTATTTAAAAAAAAAATATAATGTTACTATAGATATCTATGGGAAAATATATAGTTGTGTGTAACCATTATGACCCACCTCCTGTGCAGCACTTGCGACAAATCTCCCACAGAACCAGGCCAAATGCATACACATCCACACACTTGAATGAGTCAAAGAAATCAGGGTTAAGAGTCTCTGCTAAAAGCTCCGGCGCCATGTATCTCTTTGTGCCCACTTTGTTATTCCGCCCTAAATCCAATTTATTATCCTCTTGCGTATGCGTGACAGCCAATCCCAAATCTCCAATACAACACGTTCCGTTGGACCGTACTAAAATATTTTTCGACTTTATATCTCGATGTGCGATGGCAGGTTTTCCGTGGTTTCCGACAATTTCCGTGTGCAGATGAACGAGTCCTGCAGCTGCCGAGTGAGCCAGATCCAACATCTGTAAGTGAGTGAGAACGTTCCACTGGAGATGGTCATACAGAGACCCGTGTTTGTGGTAGTGGGTAATGAGCCACAACTGTGTGCACGAGTTCCTGCTTGTCATGTCTGAAGCATAATACCCAAGAACGTATTCGTGACGTAATAGGCATGTGTTGTAGATTTCTGATTCCCTCAACCAGCTGGCTTCATCGCGCGATGAGAAAATTTTAACAGCCACGTCCTCGTCGTGATACTTTCCACGCCATACTTCTCCGTAGCGGCCTTTACCTGAAACATTAAAAAAGGTGTTAAATGCTGAAGTCATGGCAACCTAAGTGTGGTTGAATGGGTTACCACTTTTAACAGCATGACTCTGGAGAGTTTCTAGGGCTTTGGCACTGCTTAACTCCTGATACAAATGACTTTGTTCGAAATATGTCTCTGTTAACCCATAAGTAAATGGGTACCCGGTAGGATGAGATGGAAATGGGACGGTTAACCTTCCACCGCCGCACAGACACCTTGGGTTCTATACTCTAATGTGCAAATTGACTCTAATGACAAATTAAGTACAGTGATATGAAAGATTCTGTGTTCTTTGCCAAGACAGATTAACTATAGTAATATGAAAGAATCGGGTGTTCTTAAACGTCTTTTGAGCAGTATACATACAGCTAACTATTTTTTTTTTAAAGAAATAAGACCTAATGAGTTTGTTGTGTTCGTTGGTATTGTAATAGGTCTAATTTTAGTAAACCTGATCAAAAATAAAATCCTGATATAATGTACCACCATTTTCTCCACAAATATCATGAAACACATGTCCAAGTTTTCAAGAATCTCACAGAAAAAGCAATTTTCTTTCTACTGCCATTGTTACAAGTATGTCGTGTGGCACAACCCCTGTATCCCACAACGTGACCCCTCCACTCCATCTCATCCTATCCTACCCAACCCGTCCCATAAATGCCGAGTCCCTAAACTAATCTCTGTATGTATGTAACCTCAAGAGACTTAATCTAGCATGTTCCATTATTGGCGTGATGGGGGATATCCTTCATACTGAACATACACAAAGTATGGCTGGCTAAAAAGATCAATAATTGGAATTATCGTCGATGGGAAGAAACACTAACGATTATCGTTATGAAAATTGTGTCATCGATCATATCAAACAAATTGTGATGAAATAAAGTTTAGATTTACCAAAACAGACTTGTTATTATCAATCATGTCAATTGCCAAAGACTGAAAGCAACTGTTACTTAGGTGTCCACAGAGTAATCCATGCATAGATGTGTTACCAGTGGCATGAAGTGTGTTGATTTCTTTCGGACTTTTTTGCATATTTGCTCAAAGTTACTTTCTCTAATAGTTATCGATAATTGATCGATATTCCGTAAATGAATATCGGCCTCTATGATCTGTATCCATAGCCAGCCCTAACCACAAGTTAACCTGTTTTACATACCAATGCACTCGTCCAGTCGGACCTGCCGGGCAACTGTCTGTTGGACCAGGAAGGGCAGACCTGACCCCGACCCTGAGGTCATCGACTCGTCATACAGCTCCTGCGACAAAGCAAAAGGTCAAGGTCAATGAAACTAACAGTCCAGCCAATCATATGTCTGGTGATGATTGAAATGTTTATGAACAATTTTAGAATTTGACGTAAATTGATGCCAACCTACTTCATTCAAGATTCATTCGGTCTGATTATTTAAAATGTGACAAAACATCTAATTAGAAGAAAACGTTGATTTTCAAAGTGCAATCTGACAGGAACTGACAGAACCATTACAAAAGTTAGCCCAAAATAAGAACAAGACAAGTAAAAAGTAATGTTTGTTTCTTGTTTAATGTCACACTCAGCAATATTCCAGCTATATGACGGCGGTCTGTAAATAATCGAGTCTGAACCGAGACAATCCAGGCGTTGACATCATGAGCATCGACGACATTCTTCAACCCCTACCACCCAATCCCATTAGTCGCCTCTTGAGACAAGCATGGGTTGCTGAAGACCAATTCTTCACAGGTACTCTTTTTGTGTGTAAAACTCAAAGATGAAATTTTAATCAGTGTTTAAAACATATTTTGAACACATCATGAAATGGCTTGCCCCAGAGAGAAACATTGATAAGGACTTTCACTAAATTGTTCCTGTCAGCCACACAACACTGAGGTGTTGTGAGTGGAATTATTGTGTCTACCGTCTACTGATTGTAAAACCCTCACAGCTGTAATCACAAAGGACACAGCTGGAGCATTAGTTCACACTGCAATGTCTACCAAAACACACTAACACAGACATAACTTGTCACACTTTTGTTACGTATGTCAGCAGAATTGTTAGAGCTGGCACTGAAATAAGGGTTGGTTGAGTAATTCAAATCTCAATTTTTGGTGAGATTCCACTGTTCACACTATATGACCACAGACATGACAAGCTGACTGACATTGATACACACTCATGACACGTCATGTGAAACATGTTTGAAAGTTTACATGACCCAGTGTAGACAGTGATTGTCACACTTGCACAAAGCTTCTGCTGTTTCTAAAATCGGGGATGTCTAACAGGCTGTTTGTTTGAGCAGGACCTTACACATCCACATAATATTTAATTTCTACTCCTAATCCCAATTTCAGGAAAAATCCAAAAATACTTCTCAAAAGCCAATTTTTGACATGAAGATGCCATGACAGATTCACAAATGTAATAAGAAAGAATCGGGTGTTCTTTGACTTCCTTTTTGCATTATATTTGAAAAAAAAGGATTGTCATGTAAATTTTCAGTCATAGTAGAGAGCGCTTATTTTAGTATGGTTTTACGCCACTTTTAGAAATATTCCAGCAATATCATGGCGGGGACCACCAGAAATGGGCTCCACTCATTGAACCAATGTCGGGAATCAAACCTGGATCTTCGGCGTGATGAGCAAACGCTTTAACCGCTAGGCTAGCCAACTGCCCTTGCTTATAAAGATTACCTACAGGTTAATCTAGAAGTTGGGCAGGGGAGCTTATTGGAGCAGAGTGCTTAATACAGTGAATACGGTATGCCAGTTTTGGCTTCATGGTGCTGGAAAGTCAAGAGTATTTGTTTAGGGTGCCGAAGTGTCCGTTTGAGATGCGACAATCGTAGCGTTAAGAAAAAGTCTGCTTCATCACCAACCTGTAGAGTACTGTCTCCAACTTGCGCTGCACGTATCCCATCTTCCTCCAGTAAGCGTCTCTCACGGGCAAATAGTGCCTCCATCCGGCGCTGATGGACGCGTCGGAAGAGGAAGATTATGATAGGCATGAGGACAGCCACGATGATGATGGGGATGATGATGGCGAGGATGAGGGGGAGGTGGGATATCAGGTCGGGGAACAGTGCTGCTGAAACAATAACCATCACCAATCAAATACCATTCGTCTCAAACATATTGTTATATTATTTATTGTTTAACGCCACACTCAGCAATGTGCTAGCAGTCTGGAGATAATCAAATCTGGACCAGACAATCCAGTGATCGATATTATGAGCAACTGTCCATTCTGTCGGAGAATGCTGACATGTTATCAACCTAGTCACCTAGTCCGACCACATGATCCTTTGTTTGTGTGTTTGTTTGATGTGTGACGCAAAACTCAGCAATATTCCAGCTATATGACGACGGTCTGTAAATAATCAAGTCTGGACCAGTCAATCCAGTGGTTGACATCAAGAGCATCGATCTACGCAATTGAGATATGATGACATGCATCAACCAAGTCAGCAAGCCTGACCACCCGATCGCCTCTACAAAACAAAGGGCAAGCATGGGTTGCTGAAGACCTTTTTTCTACCCAGATCTTCACGGGTCACATGATCCTTTGAGCCACCTCGTACGGCAAGCATTGGTTCTGGGGACCAATTCTCCCACCAACTTGTCTTATGATCAGTAACAGATAGTACCATTATTCAAGTTGTATGATAACAAGATGCCGTACACAGGGATATACACCACATCATGAATATAATAGTTATACCCCATGGACATTATTCATATTCAGAACATCAAACACTGAAGTGAATGAGTCGGAGTTAACTCCATTTTAAACAGTATTTCAGTTACATCATTGAGTCAGCTATTGTGACTTTAATCTCCTCATAGAAACCCTACTCTGACCCTGAATCCTAGTCCATCTCACAGTCCCTGAACCATACCATTTTTCCTTCTTACCAGCCCTTACTGTAATGCCGTAAGTCTAAATAAAGCAAGTCTAGATTTTCCAAAGGGTTCTCTCTCATTGGGGCTCCTTTTCAATTTAAATACAGTCACCTGCTACTATCAAAATTACATATTTTTATTAAGCGTCACTGAATCTTATTGATATCTAAACTAACAAAGGCATAATGTGTTGTCCGAACAACTGTCGTACCGTCTCCTGGCTTTGCCGGTTCCGGCAGCAGCAATGGGATGTCCTTGTTGCAGTAGTTGGTGTTGTTGCAGCAGTCGGTCGCCAGGGTGTCCTGGTTCTTCTGCTTGCACATTGTATGGAGCATGAGGTCCATGTCCGTGCATCCGTATGCTCGCCGCTCTTCTCCATTTACTTTATTCAAGGATGCAAAACACTGAAAAGCAGTTGAGGACCTTGTGAAATACATTCTGTACCAACTTCACTGAACATGATTTCAATTAGAAACTAGAAAGTGTTTTTACTCGTAAAAACATATGTCTCCCCCTACTCCCCTAACCCCCATTCATTCGTTTACTTCACGTTAAACCCCATCTGTTCATTCCCACAAAAATAATTCACAATATTTTAATTCTAGAATTGCTTTGAATTCAATAATATTGAAAAGATCAAATTCTTAAATTTCATTATAAGCAAAAGACACAGAAATATTGAAGGGGTGTTGAGTTTAGTTCTGGAACAAAGCCTATCCCAATAAAGAGTCTAAGTTAAACTTGTCTCCATAAACAAGAAAAAATAAAATGTGAAAAACTTCTAAATAGCAAGAAGCACCACTTCAGGACTTGGTTAATATGTTACAACTTCATGAAATAATATTGAACAGTTTTTGAGTTATGGTCAGGAAACAAAGCTTACCCCCATTCAGAGTCTATGTTCAACTTATCTCCATGGAAACGAGAAAAAATAAAAATGTCAAAAATCTCTAAATAGCAAAAGGCACCACTTCACTGCTGGGTTAATGTGTATACAAAGTTTCGCGAAAAAATATTAAATGGTTTCTGAGTTATGGTCAGGAAACAAAGCTTACCCCCATTCAGAGCCTATGTTCAACTTATCTCCATGGAAACGAGAAAAAATAAAAATGTCAAAAATCTCTAAATAGCAAAAGGCACCACTTCAGTGCTGGGTTAATGTGTATACAAAGTTTCGCGAAAAAATATTAAACGGTTTCTGAGTTATGGTCAGGAAACAAAGCTTACCCCCATTCAGAGTCTATGTTCAACTTATCTCCATGGAAACGAGAAAAAATAAAAATGTCAAAAATCTCTAAATAGCAAAAGGCACCACTTCAGTGCTGGATTAATGTGTATACAAAGTTTCGCGAAAAAATATTACACGGTTTCTGAGTTATGGTCAGGAAACAAAGCTTACCCCCATTCAGAGCCTATGTTCAACTTATCTCCATGGAAACGAGAAAAAATAAAAATGTCAAAAATCTCTAAATAGCAAAAGGCACCACTTCAGTGCTGGGTTAATGTGTATACAAAGTTTCGCGAAAAAATATTAAACGGTTTATGAGTTATGGTCCGGAAACGGTGGGAACGCCGACGCCAACGCCGACGCCGACGGGAACCGTGCCAAAAACAATATGTCTCCCTCCATTCTGGGGGAGACATAATACTAATCTGATTACAGGATTAAGGGCAAAAGTGCTGAAACTACACCAGAAAGAATTCATTTGGATCTGCTAAGGAGCCTGATATCAGCCTCAAGTCTGCTGTAAATTTCAGTACATATTCCCAACTTGGAATTAAGATTTTTCCTATTCGTTTTAATCATGTTTATATAGTAATAACTCATATTACGGCCTTATAGAGGTGACTCGTATTTCACTGATAACTGGACCAATAAAAATTATAATGATAAAAAGGAAGACTCATTATAGTATTGGATGCAATGTTGTAATATCTCTGAATTAAAAAAAATAACGACTGTAAAAACATGCCGATTTTGCACAAAATGGTGAATTTTTCCCAATTTGTCTGGAATACTGGATACAACCATGACCAGTTGTGCTACTAGTTTGTTACCATGGTTACAGTGGTACTCATCAGAATTATTTGTGTGGGTCAGGATCTAGCACCCGATCCCGTTAGTCACCTCTTTTGACTGGTACAGTCACCTTTCACGGTGTACGATGTCACATGAAGGGAAGGTAATACTCACATTTCCATTGGTGACGCAGTAGTTGGTATCACATGTGCTGCAAACACAGGTGATGTTGTACGTGGGGTCTAGTGGCAGATTCACACCTGTAACAGAGTCAAATCATGAGGATACATGGTACACAGGTGACGGAGAAGGTTAGATGTAGCACTGTCTTTGGTCAAGTCATACAACATCACTACAGGTCCTGAACTAAGAATGCGCTTCCTGACCTTTTTCTGAAATTGATAAGTGGTGACAGCTTAAAGATGGTGAGGTGAAATGGGGTTTAACATCATATTTAAGATTGTGTGCATGCATACGTGGTTACTAATGCCGTTTTAATAGTGCTAGCCCTGTGAGATATTGTGCTGCAGTTTAACATGAACACCCTATCAGACACAGCATAATGACTCCGAGCCTTGTGTCCTTGTTTTAGCCCCTTAATGCTGAGTTTCAGGCAAGGTAACAACAAGTACCATCTTTTAACATCTTTTAATATGATGTGACCGTGGACTGAACCACCAACCTCCACTCTCATAGCTTAAAGAAACACCAAGTTGCATGTATATTTCCTTTTACACAATTGATCACCATTAAGATCACCATCCACCTACTGGCAATAACCCAACCATTGACAGAAATCAAGTACGGTCTGCCTACACTCTCTACAGATACTGCAACCAAAATGAAGACCATCCACTAAAAACGTTTGTTTGTTTGTTGTTTAACGCAGTACTCAGCAATATTCTAGCTATATCAGTATATAATGGCAGTCTCTAAATAATACCAGTCCTGGTCAGACAATCCAGTGATTAGCATCATGAGCAGTGATCGACACAATTGGGATACGATGACATGAATCAACCAAGTCAGCGAGTCTGACCAACCGATCCCGTTAGTTCCTATTAGAACAAGCATGGGTTGCTGAAGACCAATATCCCAGGTCTTCAAAAGGATTGACCAAAGTAATTATTTCAAATTTTGATATTATTCATGAAACAGAAAATATGAGGCAACTCAAAATAATGAGGACATGGCCTCAACAATGTCCCAGCAAGAAACAGGACAAAGTGGGAAATGTATTTCAGCATAAAACTGAGTTAGGGGGAGCCATGAGTGGATCACAGTGTATGTCCTGTACAGCCACCATAATGGGAATGTCACATGGCATTCATAGCTGAAAGGCTCCCCTCATCTGAGGTCAATGGCAGCCATCTGGCTCTGGACCAGATCATCATGGCCAGCAGCCACCTCGTCTGGGCCTTGCTCCACAGAGCGGTCTCCGCAACAACTTGACTAAAGCTACAGTCACACAGTCTATGCGAACGCAATGCAACCTATTGGCGACTCGCTTCTTTTGCGACTGACTGGCGATCGCTGAGACCGGTGCAACTACTTTTGCCCATATTTAGAATTTGGGTATGATCGTAGATCAATCAGCGATAGGTTTTGCAACTTGTCAGTGATTGATCGGTAACTGTTCACCACAGATACGGCAAAATGTTTGCAACTAGTTGAGACCGCTCGGTGACTAGTCAGCGAAACTTTGCAACTGCTCTGAAACCTTGAAGCGACCTCACTAAAACCTTTAAGAAACCCCTGGAACCTAACTGCAATTGTCAAATATTTTGGTCGCAAGGAGGTTGCATCGCGGTTGCATTGTCTGTGTGACTTAGGCTTCAGTCTATGTTAAGGTATGGGAGTTACAAGTCATGTTCATTCCTTGTACCCTGCCCCCTGTGGGTATTTCTGTACAATAAAACTTCTTCTGGCTAAGATCTTTTGTGGAACTTTGCCTTGGTTCTGGGGACCTGTCATTATTATAAGAGGCTGTCTAGGTGTGGCGTGAGCATGTCAGACGGAATTAGGTGTGTGGTGTGGTCAACTCAATAGACAAGCATTAGGGACGGTTATTATTTTCAGTATGTTCGTGTATCAAAAGCCACTTCCCTAACCCCCTCTGTAACAAATGGCCGGTCTCAGTGCTACAGCAATCAGCCAATAAACAGGGCCTGTTTCACAATGTTATCTCAGCCCTACGATCGTCATAAGTCTATGTTCAAACTGGTCCTGCTTCACAAAGTGATCTTAGCGCTATGACAAGCACAAGTTTATGCTAATGTATGGGAGTTACAATAATACTGTGGCTAAAACTGTTTTCTGGAATCTTGACCAGGTCATGTTTCAGAAGGTAATCTTAGCAGTATGATTGTAAGACTGTCATATTATAGGAGGTTGCACTGGTGGCCCAGTCGTCTAAGGCGCCGCGATTCGCTGTGCAGATTTGTGTCCCTTGGACACGCTAGAAACCTATGATTGTGGGTTCGAATCCCGGTTCACCCCGATTATTTTTCTATATTTGTCAGCACCATACCCGTGCTCGTGGGTTTCACCGAAGAGGTAAACGTCTGAGACCTGAATCACTTCGGTCTTTCCTCCCACATTAAGCTGACACACCACGATATAACTGGAATACTGTTAAAAGCGGGGTTAAACCAGACTCACTCACTCACATAGTATAGGAGTACAATCTAAATAGAGATGAAATTCCTTTGTGGAGTGGCTAAAGGTATGGTAGTATGGCAACAAGAAGTAATCTCATAACTGATCAGTTGTGTAGCTTATGTTCTCCATCACGAAGGAGTATACTGATCCAGCCCTGTACACACGGAATAACAGTGAAAATGGGGACAGGAGACCACAGATCATAGATGTACAATACAAATGATACATAGCTGCCCAGGCTATTATCTGATAACTATGCATTGGAAATCATAAGTCAACACCATAATGCTATTCATAGTCTTATCTTGGTAACATGAAAAATGCAACAGTGTCCAACAGAACCCTTTTATGTGACATTAACACCAGGGATGAATTGACTTCAGAAACCCATTTGGATCAGTCAGTAGACCAAAGTTTTATGCTGCAGTCAGCAATATTCCAGCCATACCACAACAGTCATCAACAGTCCAGTGCATGTAAACACAATTTCAAATCTGTGTTTGACTTATCCTTACTAGATCCACAACATTGATCTTTGAACATTAATACCTTTTAGCTTTATTTACCATACTATATCACTAATCCCTGTGTGTTGTGTAATTTGTCATGCTTTCTTGGGCATGACGTCAATCTTTGGACACCTTAAGATTATGTGCACATGTTCCTGTAATGTTTTACAGCAATACGTCATTAATTTATGGGACACTTCATTCAGTGAGCTTACATAACATTTAATATGCTCGGGACTTAGGGGTATTGAAGCTGATCCAGAAAGGTTCTTAACGCGTTGTGGGACTAGGGATGAAACCTGGCTACACCACTTCCAGCCGCAGTCCAAACAAGTTCAAATATGCAAGTAATTGATTACTGCAAGTTCCTCAAGTTTGTCAATTTTCCAGGGCTCAGAGTTTCAAACAAAGTGATATCCCTGATTCTATTGTAGAGTTTGAAGACATGAGTGAGTGAGTGAGTGAGTGAGTGAGTGAGTGAAAGAGAGAGAGAGAGAGGTGGGAGAGGGGGTATAGGTGGGTGAGAATGAGGGAGAGGAGAGAGAGAGAGAGAGAGAGAATGAGGGAGATGAGAGGGAGGAGGGAGGAGAGAGAGAAAGAGGGAAGTGGAGATGGGGGTATAGGTGGGTGAGAATGAGGGAGAGAAGAGAGAGAGGGAGGAAGGAGGAGAGAGAGGGTGTGTGTGTGTGTATGAATACATATACTGCTCAAAACAATGAAGTTAAAGAACATCCACAATTGGAAGACTGTGTGTTGCATTACCTAACAGCCATGACAGATGTCTATGGTTATATGAACAAATCAGGTGTTCTTTAACTTCTTGTGAGTAGTATATATATATAGCAGTCACCGCAGAGCAGTTCTAACCATATGTTTTCCAGATACCTACATCTACATGAACTGACGAACCTTCACTTCACAGGCCACAAATACAGTTGTCACACACTTAGTTTTAAACGGTTTGAAAATGAAATATGTATATATTAATTTTATGTTAATAGGCCAGAACCTAAACATCTCATTGATGATAAGAAGGGACATGATTCTCATATCTTGAATGACAAAAAATTTGAAATCACACTAGCAAATTTTAAGCCACACAGTGATACCATAATTATGTTGAAACTCCAAACTTGATTAATGTGATGCAAGAATGACACTATATAAATAATACATCCCTCGACACAATACCAAAATAAAGTATCATTTACTACCATGTTATACAATTTATTTTGAAAATTTGCTCAACATAAACATGATCAAACTTACATGAAAAATGAAGAAATATTATCTCAAAGCAAGTCATTAATTTCTCATGAGTTTAAAGAATTTAATATCCATAAGGATAGTTGGTTGGTTGGTTTGTTGTTTAACACCGCACTTAGCCATATTCCAGCTATATGACGGCTGTCTGTAAATAATCGAGTCTGGACCAGACAATCCAGTGATTAAAATCATGAGCATCGATCCACGCAATTGGGATCGATGACATGTTTCAACCAAGTCAGCGAGCCTGACCACCCGATCCCGTTACCCGGTAGTCGCCTTTTACGACAAGTATAGTCACCTTTTACGGCAAGCATGGGTTGCTGAAGACCTATTCTATCCCGGAATCTTCATAGGTCCCATAAGGATAGAACAGATGTCAATTGGGATCGATGACATGTTTCAACCAAGTCAGCGAGCCTGACCCCCCGATCCCGTTACCCGGTAGTCGCCTTTTACGACAAGCATAGTCACCTTTTACGGCAAGCATGGGTTGCTGAAGACCTATTCTATCCCGGAATCTTCATAGGTCCCATAAGGATAGAACAGAACTCCTAAAAATAGTAGGTGCACTTGAGCAAATAACACTTCTCGTGCACCAGTGTATTGTTGACGTCAATTAAATCTTAGTGTGATGTAAGATCGGAATGATGTCCCACTAGAAACAACGTCATAGCTGAAGACTGCTGACGTCATTCAACAATTCTGTCTTTCCATGATGGCAGTCATGATAAGTGCAATTTTCCTAAAGGGGAGCTCATAAAGATTAAGAAATGATAATAAAGAATTTATTACACTCGCAAGTGTGTCATACTGATTTTACG